ATTCAACAAAGTCTTCTGTGGGCAGTAACTCATAAGTGTGATCTGAGAGGTTCAGAGGGACCCCCTGAGCTTATCCCAATTCCTCAACTGCCATTTTTACCCACCCCAGAAATGCAATGTTCAAAGCACTGTGCAGCCAGAGTCTTGAAGGATTAGGGCTTCAAAAGTTACTATTAAAATGCAAATGTTCCTGCCTAAGCTAAGACCTCTAGTCCTTATCTAGTAACAGCCTAAAGGGCTTCTTTTAAGAGAAGGCTGTTTTCATTTTTTAACTGTGTAATTCTGTAAGGAAGCATAAAATAAACCTGGTCTTACTACATTTAGTTTGAGGGCTGACTCTGCAAGACTAGGGTTTCTAGGGGTAGAACCACACCTAGGAATTATCTCCCCAACAACCCTACCCCCACTTCTCCACCCCTGCCCCATCATCCTTTCATCCCCTCACCCTGCCCTGATGGCCTTTGCCTGTATATAGTAGATCTGCCACACGGGGTATAGCTGCTCATGTGTGGTCCAGGAAGCATCCTCTGTGGATATAATTTTGTCTTATAGATCTACTAGGAGTCCCTGAGCAGTGTAAACTGTTACGCACTTGACCACTAACTTTTTCACCAAAGACCTACCTGGAGAATGGGAAAGAATCTCCTCTGTTGCTCCCAAGTCTAACAAAAAACCAAACCCACAGCCATCAAGTCAATTCTAACTCACTGCAACCCTACAGAGTAGAACTGCCCCAAAGAATTTCCAAAGCTGTAATCTTTACGGAAGTAGACTACCACATCTTTCTCCCATGGAGTGGCTGGTGAATTTGCACTGCAAACCTTTTGGTTAGCAGCCAAGTGCAGCATCACCAGGGTTCCTAGTTGACTCAAAGTATCCTTATAAAATAATAACAATAGTAACTAACATATACAGCATTTACTATCTGCTGTGCTATATTATCAGAAGGAAGAAGGGACAATCTACTTCTGTAGTGATACTGCCCCAGAACCCAAGGAGGGGTCGCTATGAGTTGAGTCCGACTTGATAGCACATAACAACAACAGAACCGTGCTATATTAATACAGTTAATCTTCATAGGCAGGTAAGGAGTACTATCTCCATTTTATACATGAAGAGACTGAGGCCTGGAGAGATTAAATAATTTCCCTAGAGCCACATAGTTAATAAGTAGTCTGAAGTAATGATCAAAGTCTCAAACTCTCAAACTCACTGGACTCTTATTTAATTTTACATTTATTCTCTTTGAAATTTACCTGGCCACTAATTTATTTATGTCTTGGAAAAATGACAGCCAGAATGCTTCTTAGAAGTGAGGACAGTAAGACTTCCTCTCAAGTTCTTTGGACATGTTACCAAGAAAGACCAGTCCCTGAAGAAGGACATCATTCTTGGTAAAGTAGAGGATCAGGGAAAAATAGGAAGACCATCAACCAGATGAATTAACACCATGGCTGCAACAATGGGCCCAAATATAGCAAGGATGGTAAGGATGGTGAAAAACCAGGCAGTGTTTGGTTTTGTAGTGCATAGTCCATATAAACTCCAAAACCCGACTCACTGCCATTGAGTCAATTCTGACTCATAGCAACCCTCATTGGGTTTCAGAGACAGTAAGTCTTTACAAAAGTAGATTGCCCTATTTTTCTCCCATGGAACAGTTGGCAGGTTTGAACCAACCTTCTGATTGGCAGACAAATGCCTTAGGCACTGTGCCACCAGAGCTCCTTACATAGTCCATATAGAGTCTCTATTAACTGAGACTCAATGACACCTAACAACAATACTAATTTATTTCTACTACTTTAATTTTTAAAATGTAACATTCTGGGATTTTAAAACACTTTTACCCTACCACTCCTCTGAGAATTTTCCTCAGGAGACTTTGAACACCATCATCCTCATTCTGAAGGAGAGATTAGCTCTCTTAAAGTCTCTATCTGTTGAATGGCATGAAGGCAAGTCTGAGGGCTTTTGGAAAGATTATGCTCAATTTTCTTGAGTGAATCTTATGGTCCTTTAACTACAAGGTATCACAAAAGTTTCCCTTGGAAAGTGTGAGAGGCTGGTTACACTTCTCTAAGACAGGCGGTTTTATATACAAGATGCCCACACTTATACATTATAAAGCCCATGCCCCCCAAAAATCTGTTGCTGTCAAGTCAATTCAAACTCACAGTGACCCTATGGGACAGAGTAGAACTTCCCCAAAGGGTTTCCAAGGCTGAAAGAAGGTTTCCAAGAAGAAAGTAGATAGAGCTGATGCTTTCCTGGTCTTTAAAAAAAAAAAAAAGAGGAAAAAAGTGAGAATCTCTTACACTCACTGGTTGTACATCCTTAAAATCTTGATTTTAGTTTCCTCATTCTTCAACCATATAAAATTGGTGGGAGGAATAAAGTGAATGAGCCACATAGAATAGTTAGCCTTGTGCCTGGTCCTCAGGAAGAACTCAATACACACCATGGGAGACAGGTGTTTTGTTCTTTCATGTTGCCATATCTATCCATGTGTGTACTTTACTTGGTTTTGGACAATTTAAAGAGTAAGAAGCCAGTACATTGGACCTTCTAACTATTTCCAAATTTTGGAGAAAGCTACAAAAGCCACAGCACTCTGTGGGTAGAACCTCGAGCTCCTCTCAGCCAGTGGTGTCTCAAGGCACAAAAGTCCCTGTCAAACACCTCTCACTCTGGATTTGGCTGGAGGGATACCTCATGCATGGCCATTGGAGCTTTATTTCCTCACATTTTATTGATTTCAGTGAGCACATGTTCCTGGGGTTGACAGGCTGCATAAAAGAAATCAGCAGTACACTCCACCCAGATAGCTGATATAAAATTTGGAGAACTTTTTTTTTTTTTCTTTTTAATAAGATAAAGGAAGTGTAGATGTCAACAAAGAGATATAATCAGTTATGTGAGGGTGGAGCAATTGCTTGATTTCAGTTTTTATCTCAATTAAATATATCCAATTTTTCTGGTCAAATAGCGAATCATCATGGATTGAGATGAAAATTTGTGGATTTGTGGACTAATGGATGAACTAAAAATAAGGTAAACAGAGGGTTACTAGCTCAGGAGAACCCAAAAGTAATTTTGGCAATTGCTGTCTGTGATAGTTAAGGTTATGTGTCAACTTGGCTGGACCTGGTTTCAAGTGGTTGGGCCGCTAGGTCTAGTTATTCTTCATGATGAGACTAGTAATTAGTTCCATGGTGGAATCTACTGGAGCAACCCAGAGAGATGTGTTCTGCTTCCCATATATAAGAAGACAACTTTGAGAAAGGTCTCAGAGCTTTTTTGGTATGTTTAGACCCTGCATGTAGCTGAGTCTTCACTTAGCAGCCTGCCATGTTTGTCTGCTGATCTCGGGACTGTTTCTGGACTTGATCTAATGTCCTACTCTGTTGCTTAATAATCTTGGGACTGTGCCATTTTACTGGTTGACCTTGGGTTTGTCAGCCTCACCAGCCACCAGCTGTCTGAATTAAGGGAAGCCTCCAGCTTCAGTGGGCCAGGAGGAAGAGGCAGAGCTGAAGCCCAAAATCAAGGGGCTTTCACCCAGCCCCTAGAACTGGCACTTTGGACCCGGACTTCTAGGCTCCTAAATTGTAAGAGAATAAATTCCTGTTTGTTAGTCATCCATTTATAGTGTTTTCTGTTAGAGTTGTGCTAGAGAACCAAATACTGTCCACACTTTCTGAACATGCATAAACAATACATTATAATGATTCAGAGTTTTACTCTGGGGTTAGATTTTATGTGTTTGAATCCTAAATTAGACATTTACTAGGTGGTGCTCTAAGGCAAATTGCTTAACCTCTCTAAACTCTAGTTTTCCTATTAGACATAGATAATGATGGCACTTACTTCATAGGATTATTGCAGAAATGAATGAAATGCCAGATGTAAACTACTTGGCATAATGCCTGGCAAACAAAAACAAAAAATTGCTGTCTAGTCTTTCCAACTCATTGTGACCCCATATGTTACAGAATAGAACTGCATTTCATAGGGTTTTCATAAATGTGAGCTTTCCAAAGCAGAGCACCAGTATTTTCTTCTGAGGCACCTCTAAGTAGTTTCAAACCACCAATGTTAGTAGCCATGTACTTAACCATGCATACACTAAGGGATCAATAATTATTATTTTCTTGCTCTTCCCTCCACTCTACTTTTCTAACTTGCAAAACAAATAGCTGTACATTGATTGACAGTTTCAGAAAGCCCAGTGACTGTGTAGCTAGCACTGTGCCTCTCTTCCACCAGATTCCAGGTGTGTCTATAGAGATGGAATGGGGAATAGAGTAAGGGGGTACATATAACATTGCCCAGTTTAGCACTGCCCTGAATATTATCTCCAAAGAAGGAGGCAAACCAAGGCAAAACTGATGAGTTAACCAGATATGACACACAAAAAAACATTTCCTTCTCCTTTCTTGGTTTCAAATATATTTTGAGGCCATAGGTCTCTCCAATGCAGTCAGAAATGAGGGGCACAGAGGAGATGCCTGCTCCTGTAGGAAGCCTTGTCCAGCTGTGGATAGTGTTACTGCTCTTCTGTGAGTAGAGATTCATTAACCCTTTCTAGAGAGAGCAAAATGGGTCTGGAAAGCAGTTGAGGTGGAAGCTTTGGCAATCTTAATGGGGACATTTTCTAGGACAGGCACAAACCGTGGGTCATTTCCAAGGAACTCTTGTAGTGGGGATAAGCTGAAAACAAAGGAAGCTGGGCTGAACAGCACCTAAGCAGACAGCCAAAGTGACAGCCTGGCTTCTTCAAATCACCTAAGGATCCCTAGGGGTCAAGAATCCTGCCAAGTGAGGGAGGGGAGAGGAAAGAAAGATGCTGTTTCTCTCCTTGGGTCAGGCTACTGAGAAGAAGGCTGGCCCTTACAACTCCACAGACACGGACTTTGTCCCCACAACCAAATGGTAGCCCTCAGGTGTCCTGAAAGGCTAGGGGTAGACATTAACCTATCCTCTCCGGCCTTTTGCAGCTCCAGTTGGTGTGCTTGCAGGTGAGTGCTCCATCCTTGTTCCCTCTGCATTTCAGTGTATCTGGGCATTGTTCTCTCACTAATTGCTTCCTCTCATCCCAGCACCTCTGTTTTCTAATGGTTATGAATCTGTTCCTCCCTGACCAACTTGCCTCCCAACTCCACTGTGCCTTGTCTTCCCTCTTTCCTCCCCATTTGAAATTTTCACACATACCACTTCATTGTCTCAAGTCACCTTTTATACTTCTTATACTCACAACAATGTCTGCTGAACATCTGAATGTCTCAGCTTCTCTCCCAGGCACTTTCACATAATATCATTCAATTTTCATGACAATTTTAGGAGACAGGAATTATTATTGTTATTTTATAACTAAAAAGTCTGAAACTCAGAAAGATTAAGTGATTTCTTAGAGGTGACAAAATTAACAAGGGATGGGATTCCAAAATAGAACCCATGGACCAAAGTCTAATTTGCTTCCAACTATATGACTACTTCTTCATCACTATCTAGCCATTTTCTTAGCATTTATCCAAATCTTTACCACATCTCTTTGCTCCTGGAAGCCACTCAAGATTGGCCCTGTTAGTGCTTCCAACTGCCCTCAAGCATTATATATATTTTGTGCATGCACCTAGTCATAAAAATTTACAACTTGGAGATACCTTATACGTCATCTCATTCAACACATTCATTCATCCATTATTCACTCATTCATCCACTCAGTAAGCACTTAATGAACTTTTACAATCATGCCGGGCAATGGTTAAGCATAAAACACATTGTCACTGCCTGAAAAGAGATTGAGGTCTTTATTTTACAGATAGTGTAATCAAAATTAAGAAAATTAGAGTCTCACAGTAACTTGATTCGTTTGTTTAAATATTCCTGCATTTGTGTCCTGTTTTTCATTTAGATTGGAGTCATTACACTGTATCTCTCCTTTTAATCCTTCTCCAGGAAATCAGGACAGGGTCTTTTCATTAGCATTGTAAGGGTGCTAGATCAAGATTGATTGTTGTTTATGGGACTATTGGTATGTCTGTTCTTTGGAGCCTGGAGAGTTTTCAATTATTTTGCCCCCTCTATATCTTTTTCCAAGGAGCTCTGGTAGCGTAGTGCCTAAGGCATGTGACTGCTAACCAGAAGGCTGGTAGTTCAAACCCACCAGCCACTCCTCAGAAGGAAGGTTGGGCAATCTACCTCTGTAGTGATACTGCCTCGGAAACCCAAGGAGGGGTTGCCATGAGTTATATACTCGATCTCAGTGGTTTATATCTTTTTTCCAAGGAGCATGGTAGTACCATAGTTAAAGCACTGTGCTGCTAACCAAAAGGTTAGCAGTTCAAACTCACCAGCCTTTCACAGGAGAAAGATGTGGCAGTCTGCTTCTGTAAAGGATTTATAGCCTTGGAAACCCTATGGGGCAGTTGTACTCTGTCTTACAGGGTCAGTATGAGTCCAAATCAACTCAACAGCAGTAGATTTGTTTTTGGTATATCTCTTCCCACACTTTTATTTCTTTGAAGCTACCCAGAAGTCTACTATTTCCCTGGATCCCCCGTGGAATAGAATATTTAGAGGCGAGAGTGTGAAACTTATATGTAACAGACACAAGTCCCCTGAAGTCACGTTGACTAGGTGGTTCCACAATGACACCATTTTATCAAAGACAAATTCAAGTCTGGACATCACGAATGCTGGCCAACAGGACAGTGGAGAATACACGTGTCAGAATGGAAAATATAACTTGAGCAAACCTGTGTTCCTGGAAGTCTTCAGTGGTAAGTCTCAGGGTTGTGGGAATCTAGGTTCTCCCATGGGAGGAATGGCCCTCTGAAGAAGGGGAGGAAATAGGTTATTCCAAGGTTTAGGGGCACCAGGGTGGGATTCAGATCTTTCATGCGAGACTTGTCCAACTTGCTTTACCCCCTCTACTCTTTCTTCTAGCCTTTCTACCCTCTTTCGACATTGTGGTCATTTTCCATTTTATAATTCTACTCCATTTCGCTTTGATTCTCTTTTCTGCATTTGTGCAGATGTATATTATGTGATCAAATGGTATCTTAGATAGGTGGACATTGCAAAGAGCTGTTTTTGTGGAATAGAATTAAAAGATTTGATTTAAAGATTTGCTCTGCATAATCCATGTGCCACAACTTGAATATAAGATTGTATTCTTCATTATGAAAGATATTTGTGTACATTCCTCATCTCTTCTACTATTACTGAACTACAAATCTTACATTTATTTCATCCTTATCACTCTCCTATTGCCAGAAATTAGCACAGCACGTTTGGGTGCTGTTCTGTTACCTAGTGCTGCTCTGACAAGAATATACCACAAATGGGATGGCTTAAACAAACAGGAGTTTATTCTTACAATTGGGAGGCTTTAAGTCCAAGTTCAAAGTGCCAGGCTCTAGGGGCTGGGTGAAAGCCCCTCAACCATGGGGTCCAGCTCTGCCTCCTGCTCCTGGCCCACTGGAGCTAGAGACATTTATTCACTCAGACAGCTGCTGGCTGCTGAGGCTGAGAAGCCCCAAGGTTGACAAGGAAAAAGGCACAGTTCTGATGTTACCAAACCACACTACAGGCCATTAACTTAAGTCCATTGTAAGTGCCAAGGTCAGCAGAGCATAGCAGGCTGCTAAGCAATGACCCGGCTACATACAGGGTCCAAGCATGCCATAGGCTAGAGACCATTCCCAAGGCTTCTCCTTATATACAGGAAGCAGACCATATCCCAAAGGCAGCTACTCAGCTGCTTGTGGTAGATCCCACCATGGAATTGATTGTTAGTCTCATCATGGGGAATACCACCACCAGCTGTCCAGCCACTCACCCAGGCCTAGCCAAGTTGACACATGAACATGACTATCACAATTCCACCCCTTGTCAACTTGACCTCTGTACAGATCTTCATTGGGTGGCATCTGTACAGATCTGCTCCACTGAGTGGCTCCAGTCCCCTAGTTCCTTTAAGTGGCGACCTCACACCCTTGGCCTGGCAGGCCCTGTTCCTCTCCCTCTTGAGCATGGCAGCCCTACCCCCTCACTTTTGGGCAGCAGCTTGGCTCCATCCCATTGGCTCACATGAACGAGCAGCCCCACACTCCAGAGCCAAGTTGGTGAAGGCCTGGCTCTTTGAAACCTAGGGGGTTGTGGTGACTCCACCCCCAAAAGGCCATGGTCCTACCCTTTCAGGCTGAGGCAGCTCTGCTTCCATTTCTTTGCTTCTGCTTCTGCTGATTAATGCCAAAGGCAACCCACTCTGCGGGAAATCCTCCTGTCACAAAAGCACTCAGCTTTCTTGCTCCATGGGCCAGCCAACTTGCTACTCCATTTTATACCAGTCTCTTCACCAATTAATGCCTCAAGGCAACTCACTCTGCCGGGAAGCCACCTACCCAAAAGCATCAAGCTTTCTCCTCTGTGGTTGGTAAGGCTGTCGCTGTCTCATGCTGGTTTTCTCAGCTCTGCTTCTGCCGTCTCTCATGCCAGTCTCTGGGCTCTGCTCCTTCCATTTCTCATGCCAGTCTCTTGGCTCTGCTCCTGCTATCTCTTATGCCATATGCTGGGGTCTCTCTGCCAGGGTCTCAGGTCAAGGACGCACTCCACTCCTATTTGTGGCACTAGGTAACCAGAACAGGTGCATATGAGTTAGTCAATAGATGTTGAATGAACAGACTAGTAATTTCCTTTGCATGATTAGGTTACTGTTTTACTTTATATTTTTCTCTTGAGTGAAAAAAAAAAAGATGTTTCAACATTCATATGCAACTTCTAAATACAAAATAAAGAAAGAAAGAATGGATCTTAATTTGCTTGGAGTAGCTTCTAGAGAAGTCCTCAAGGATTGCTTCTAAATTAAATAAGCTTTCACTAACTTTCCATATTCCTGTTTTTGTAAATGCTTTTCAATTCTTTCAATGATATTAGTAAACAGAACTAGATTCTTATCTTTAATTGACTCATTATTGACAAATATTTGTTAAGTGCCTACTAACTTCTAGGCACTATCTTAAGCACTGGGGATACAATTTAAAAAACCAGACATAGCCTCTGCCCTCCTGGAACACAGAACCAAATGGGGAAAAGGACATTAAATACATAATCACACAATTAATTAATTAAATCATTACACATGTTCTGAAGGAGACTTGATGGTGCTGTGTTTAAGTGTTTGGCTGCCAACTGAAATGTCTGTGGTTTGAACTCAACAAGTGTTGCATGGAAGAAAAGACCTGGTGATCTGCTCTTGTAAATATAAACATTACAGCTTACAAAGTCCTATACAAAACTTAAAAAATAAAAAAACTCACTGCCGTTGAGTCTGTCCCAACTCATAATAACCCCTCGGGCAGTATCTCTATGGAAGTAGGTTGCCCAGCCTTCCTTCCCAGGAGTGGCTGGTGGGTTTGAACAGGCAGCCTTCTAGTTAGCAGTCAAATGTCTTAGGCACTATGCCACCAGAGCTCCCACAAAGTCCTATGGGGCCGTTCTACTCTGAGTCAGAAGTGACTCAACAGCACACAACAAAAATGACATGTCTTGAGGAACTTTTTGGCAAACTATGATTAATTGTAGAATTGGGAAGCCCCCATGAAGTGAAAGAGAACAAAACAGACATTTTTTCTGCACTACAACCCCCCAGGCAGATGAGATTTATTTCACTCTCAGTAGCACTATTCAGCAACGATGGATCTGAAGGGAATTCTGGGTTTCAGACTTTCCATGGATGGGCTGTGGAGAAAGGTCAGAGAGTCTCTATGCCCACAGACTGACTTTTCAGGAGGAGAGAGGACCCATCAATATAGAAGACAGGCTCTAAATGTTATTTTGACTTTCCTTTTTATATTGACCTTACCAGCCAAGAAATGGGTTAAAAATAATCCTTGGTTTCTGATACACATTCTTGCATGATTCTCTTTTATTTTTTCTGTGTATTTATCTGTTACTTTGTTGGTTTTCAGACTGGCTGCTCCTTCAGGTCTCTGCTGATGTGGTGACAGAGGGTAAGCCCCTCTTCATCAGGTGCCACAGTTGGAAGAACTGGTATGCCTACAAAGTGATCTACTACAAGGATGGCAAAGCCTTCAAGTACTGGTATGAGAACCACAACATCTCCATTGCTAAGGCTACACTCAAGGACAATGGCACCTATCACTGTGAGGGCAGCATTCAGAAGTTGAAGCATACCTCTAATTCTGTCACCATTACTATAAAAAGTGAGTTGGCAAAGGAAAGGGGAAGGATTCCATAGCAAGAGAAATTAGAGAGAACATCTGAGTCTGAGTGATTGCAATGTGTAGAGTGGGGGCAGCTACGATCCTTTGAAAAGAAACCTGGGGTATAGCATGTTTTTTAATTTCTGTCTAAGATTCTTTACTTGCTAAATGGTAATAGTAATATCTACTCACATTATGGCATTTTTATAAAGATTAAATGGGATAATATTTATGAAATGGCTTTGTAAACTGTTAAGGATTACCCAAGCATAACAGATTGTGATTGCTATTTGGATCTCAAAGACATCTGTTGCTCCTGAAGGGAATACTTATATTTATCAAATTGAAAAAGAGTTTAAAAGTTTAAGGAACAAAGGTTGTGAACAGCTTGAAGAGCCCATTCCAGCCCAGGAGGTCGGGAGAAGGAAATCAACCAATCAGCAGGCTATGAGCCTGTGTATTCAGAGACGAGGGAGATGGCTTGATGAGGAAAGGATAGACAGGTGGGCTACCTCCATGACTCATGAGAAAAACTGTTCTCTCTAAACTTTGAATGACAAGAGAGGGAACTTCTGAAATATTTTCCTCACAAGTACGAAATAAGACTTCTTGCTTGGCGGGCTTTACTCATACTAAAGTCTAAAAGCATGAGACCAGAAGTCAGAATTAGGGTCTAATGCCAGTTCTCTGTTAACTAATTGGAGAGCTTGGTGCTATTTCATTATCTCTGGGTTTATAAGGAGTTCTTGTGGCATAGTAGGTAAAGCATTTGCTGTTAATCAGAAGGTTGGTGGTTCAAGCCCATCAGCTGTTCCACAGGAGGAAAATGAGACAAATCTACTCCGTAAAGATTTACAGGCTTGGAAACCCAATGGAAGCCTCTATGAATTGGAATCAACTCAGTGGCTATGGGTTTGATTTTTGGTTTTCTGGACTTAAAATAAAAGATTTTATTTAGAGTCCATTAGAATTATTTGGAGAACTTAAAATGTATATATTGATATCTGTGCTCTCCCCTCTAGATTCTGATTTAATTGTCTTGGAGTGAGGTCTGCACATCGATATTTTCAGAAACTCTTCCTGGTAATAGTAATGTGCAGCCAGTGTTGAGAACTATTGGTCTAATTGATTTCTAAGTGATTTTTACTTAGATTGATTTCTTAGTGATTTCTGGGGCTCCATGATTCTAGAGTGATCACAAAACCAATACTTTGTAACACAATAACAGAACCACAAAACAGTATAATTAGGAGACAAGTAACAGATCATCTAATCCAAGATCTTCATTTCACCCAACATGCTTGCAAGAAATGATGATTTATTAATTAAGAAATAAGGCCTTGCTCTCTCTCTGCTTTCTTCCTACCCCCCAAATCATATGTGAATGCTGGTCTTGCCAACCCCAAGAAATTAATCATTTTTCCTGTGACCATCCTTGTTTAGGTACATGGGCTACAGGAATTGTTGCACAAAGGTTTTGGGTAAATACTCAAGACCCCCAGGAATCTGGGGAGCACATATTGAGAGATGCAGTCCTTTGAGTGTTTTCTCTCTGCTACTGGACACCATATCATGCTAGAAGATGGAGGACCATGATGGGTCCTTTGCTTAGGGAGGATGGAATCCTGAATATCATTTTTCAATTCTTAATATAAATTATGTTTCTTGTTGTCACTGCAGCTCAAATTAACAACCACTGGATACAATTTTTTGTCCAGTTGCTGGTGGTGATCCTGTTTACTGTGGACACAGGGTTGTTTATCTTGACCCAGCAGCAATTCAAATTGTTCTTGGAGATTAAGAGGACCGGAAAAGGCAACAAACGTCTGGATCCAAAATGTAAACTAGACTTCAAAGAGAAATGATGTCACCTCTCAAGAAATGTTTGCATCAGCAATTTTTTTTTTTTTTTTCCCCAGCAGCAACCATTGCTTCTCCTCCCCAATCCTGAAGATCTCATTCCAAAACCCCTGAACACACTTTATTGTCTGGCTCTCCACTCACAGCTGCTCTCCCCAGTCTCTTCTAGTTCCTAATTGATACTTGTAGTTTGAAGTAAGGATTTCATCCCATTTCCAGTTACTGCCAGAGTTGAGATACTAGATTGGTGTAGAGCAAATAAGAAGCAAACAGACAGGCAAACAATATGTGTAAAACCCAACTCTTACTCAATCCTAAATATTTTGATTGGTGAGCATTCTTCAGAGCTTCTTAGCTCCAGGTATAGAATCCTATTTCCATTCTTGTCCACCCAAGAATTCTTCCTAATGCCCCCTAATTAGGTCAGAGGAGCAACCAAACCAAAGGAAAAGAGATCATTTCCTCTCCATCTGTTTCCTTGCTCACTCTTTTCCGTAAGCTATGCTATCTCTGCTCTTTGGGAAATCCTAAAATTCACAAATGAGACACATGAAGAGGGGGACATTGTCAAATATAGCTCACAACATACATAGAAACATTTGTACTTAAGGCTTTGCAGAACTTCTTCATTAAACCAATGGAAACTGGTTAAGTGGCATGTAATAATAAGTGTGTAATAAATATTGTTGAATAAATGGAAAAATGAATAGATTCATTTATTAGCATCTGTTAAAGAGAAGTATAATTTGAATAAAGTAAACATGGAACTGTGCAACATGGTGCTTCCAGTACTCAAGGCTTACTACCTTCTTTTTTGCTTCTAGAGACAAGAACCTTGAAGTTCTAGGTTAGAAATGTCCTCTTGTGACCATTGTAGGGATGATTTTTTTCCCTGAGTGATGTTCCAGGTCATTAGTTATCATAGTTCACTTCCACCTCATCTTCTATCCTCACTCAAAGCTTAGAAGGGCTATGGATAGATCTGTGGTCTGGAAGTTCAAGCTGCTCACTGGCTGTGTGATTGGCGTAAGTTATTTGCCAGTGTCTGAGATTCTATTTCTTCTTTGTAAAAAGATGGTTTGGGACTAGATGATCTCTAAGATCTCTTTGAGTCTGTAAATTTTACCATTCAGTTGCTTGCAAACCCAGTTCTTATATTACCTAGACATAAAAGCTCAGAATGAATTGCCTAAGAAGTGCCAATGTGAATTTTTCCTTGATCCCCCTACACATTAGCCTCTCCTTTCACTTTTCTCTTCCATATATATGAATTCCAGCTTTGTTTCAGATCTGTGACTACTATTTCTACCCATTTTCTTCTTTATTTTCACATATCTACTAACCCAGAGGGAATGTAGAACAGAGTTAGGCCTTAAATATTTTGTGGGTCCCCAAAATATGTAATTTTTAAATATGTCTTTTTCCTTTAAAACACATGAATACCTTTTATCTAGGCCCAAAAGAGAATGTGTCCATTACAGAGATGATTGGAATCTAAATAATTCACCCCAGCCTTACCCTTGGGGCCTTCTTGTCCCCTGTCCTATCTCTTGCCTAATTGTCTAGCCTAGTCCCTATAGAAAAACTTGTTCTTCCATAATTGCTACTCCAAAAAGGCCACCACAGATTTCATGAACTCTCAATAGCTAGGGGTTTACTTTTGAAAATCAAGTTATTAGCTTCCTGCTCTTGGCCAATGGAAGATAAATTCCCTTGGCTACCTCCAGAGTGGAGACTCAGAAAAAGATTCACCTTGTCAGCATGTCAGGGAAATGAGTATCTGCTTGTTCATTCTTCTCATTAAATGGGAAATGGTAACAACAGGAGCATCTTTTGAACTCAGAGATGGAAGCCTTACATTGAGGATGGATGAGGTACATGGACAAGCCCATAGAATGGCATTGTCTCTGTGTTTGAAATTGTCTATCCACCTATGGACAGTTACTTACCAAGTCCAAGGTCCCATCTGGTATGTCATCAAACTCCATAACATCCTCACCATGAACCATTCATTCTACAAACGTGCCAGGATCACTGTCAAGCTCATTTTTATATGTTACATACAGAACTCATACTTTTTTCCCTTTTGTAAATTGGAATGACATATTCCTACTTTCAGTCTTTTCAAATGTAACTGAGAGTGGTCAGCCATCTCGCTGTGAACTAGTGGCGCCAGGCAGCAATGAAACAGAAATTGCTCCTATAGACTTTTTTTTTTTTTTTAAAGGAATAACTTCATGCTATTTCTGAGAAAGTTTCAAATTTTTATACTTTTTACTAAGTTTCAAGAAGATAATAATGCATTCCTGTCAACTAAATCGAACCACAATAAACATAGGTCAATAGGATGAACTTTTTTTTTTTTTTTATTAGGATTTGGGTGAAGATTTACAGAGTAAATTCACTTTTCATACAGCAGTTTACATATACTTTGTCTCATGTCATTGACCAAAATTTACAATGCAGCAGCTCCCCTCCCACTTCCTCCCCATAGTTACCTCCTCCCAGTGTCCATCCCTTCATACTCTTCTGCACCCTGAACTATCTCCCTGTGCATAAGCAGCCCTTCCTTCTCCCATGATTGTTCTCTCCAGGGCATGTGTCTACTTGAGGTAAATGTTTAACTCACATGCCTGTACTTTGTTTGGCTGGAAACCACAGGTGTGGGTTCAATTCCAGACCTGAAGGGCAGCTAGGGGCCATAGTCTCAGTGGTTACACCAGGCTCTATTGGACCAGCAAACCTGGTCCCCACCTTCTTTTTTTTTTTTTTTGCCTCCAAATGATTTTGAGTTTTGTACCACATTGTTCTCCCTCTTTATTCAGGATCTCCTACATCCCTTCCAAGTGGATGGCAGTGGTAGCTGGGCACCATCTAGTTCTTCTGGTCTCATAGTTGTATAGGTTGCAGATCGGATGGTGTACCAGTCGCTAGGACTGATTGTTTCCATTAATTTTGGTTTTCTTCTTTCTTCTTGACGAGGAGAGACCCGTTGTTGCATCTAGATGGCAGCTTGCTAGTTTTTAAGGTCCCAGTCGCTACTTGCCAAAGTAGTAGGTGGAACAATGTTTTGTATAGTATGTTATGCCAGTTGAGCTTGATGTCCCCTGTGACTATGGTCCCAAGCCCACAGGATCAACTACTCGGTCCCTCTGGGTAGCTGGCTGTGACCAAGTAATGACCATAACCTTGCCCCTTGTCAGCTCTACTATACACCTGGGAATTCTGATCATTCACATGAACTTATAGGCCCATTGTCTGCCAACCCTATATATGATCTTGGATACACTCTCCATTTAGACATACCTAATTGTTTAGCTTGTTCACCCATCTATCCGTCCCTATACCCATGTTTGCTTTCACTGACAACTCAGTACTGTATATGCAAAGGGGTTCATATTTGTTGTCTGTACTGCCCATGTAACTCTCTCTGTCTTTCTCATCCTCAATGCTGCCATATTGGTCACTCCCATTTGGTACATTGCCCTTCTCTTCACCCAAATCAATATTTATCTCTATCTATCTAATAGCATTCCCTCCCCTCCCCTCCCACCCTTTTTTTGTTTTTTTAAGTTAAAACGTAGGTGTTTTCAATTCAACACGTAGAGTTTGGAAGTCATCACTCTTGTCCTCCCAAGAAAAAGTTGAATAAACTGATAATTTATATCCATAAGAGATTTGAGGTCACAGGGCAAACTGCCATCCTAGAAACTAAGGAGACAGGCACATACAGAGAATTGCAGTTGACCGGGAGCAGAAATCACTGCTAGTGGGAATCCAAAATGGTACAACTATTTTGAAACACAGTCTGACACTTTCTTACAAAGCTAAACATAGCTTACCACACAGTCATGCTCCTAGACATTTACCCAAATGAGTTAAAAACTTACATCCTCACAAAAACACCTTCTAGTTAGCAGTCAAATCACTTAGGCACTATGCTACCAGAGCTCCCCCAAAACATTTACATATATGTTTATATCACTTTACTCATAATTGTCAAAACTTAGAAGCAACCAAGATGTCCTTCAATAGGTGAATGGGTAAATAAACTGTGGTACATCCATACGATGGAATATTATACTTTGATAAGAAGAAATGAGCTATCAAGCCACAAAGAAATGTGAAGAAATTTTAAATACAGACTACTAAGTGAAAGAAGCCAGTTTAAAAGGCTATATAGTATATGATTCTGACTAGGTGACCTTCAGAGACAATAAAATGATCAGTGGCTGCCAGGTTTTGGGGGAGAGGGACAGAGGTGAACAGGTAGAGCACAGGGTACTTTTAGGACAATAAAATTCTTCTATATGATACCATAATGGTGGATACATGACTTTATGCATTTGCCTAAATCGATTCAACTGTACACTACAAAGAGTAAACCTGAAAATAAACTATGGTCTTTAGTGAGTAATAATGTGTAAATATTGGTTCATCAATTGTCCTAAATATACCACACTATTAAAAAATGTTATAAGCTCTGGTAGCATGGTGCCTAAGGCACTTGACTGCTAATCAGAAGGCTGGTGGTTCAAACTCACCAGCCACTCCTCAGAAGGAAGGTTGGGCAATCTACTTTTGTAGTGATACCCCCTCAGAAACCCAAGGAGGGGTCATTATGAGTTGGGTCTGACTCGATGGCACATAACAACCACAACAACATTAAACAATGTTAATAACAGGGGAAACTGTGTGCAAGGAGAGGGGTTTGATGGGACCTCTGTACTTTTTGTGTAGTTTTTCTGTAAACCTAAAACAGCTTTAAAAATAAAGTTTATTAACATTTAAAATATATATATGCATATAAAATCTACATACACATATATACATATATATCTCTAAGGAGCTCTAGAGGCACAGTGCCTAAGGCATTTGACTGCTAACCAGAAACTTGGTGGTTCAAACCCATCAGCCACTCCATGGAAGGAAAATGTGGCTTTCTACTTCCATAAAGATTTACCACCTTGGAAAGTCAGTGGGGGCTCACTATGAGTCAGAATCGACTCCATGGCAGTGGGTTTTGGTTTGTTTTTATACATATCTCTACATTTGCATATATATCTACTCACATATATATCTACATATATATAGATATATCTACCTACAAATATATATATATATATATATATATATATATATATATATGGCATTGTTGTTGTTGTTGCTATGTGCTGTTGAGTCTATGACATATATGAATGTCAAACATATATTTGTCATCGACCTTTTCCTTTCACTAGAATACATCAAGACTGAGGAGTGATGCCAATTGCCATTGTGGAAATGGGCTCCTAAAATGTTGCAGATTGCCGGTTGGGCTCTGACTATGAAATGAAGATTGGGAGAGTGCTTTCAGCATCAGCACTTGTGAAGGAAAGAAGGAAGGAGAATTGGGCAGAGGGTGAAGTTGAATTGTGATGTAATCACAACAAAAACCTCCAATCATTTTCCAGATGAGAGTTCTGGAGCTGATAGGGCCCATTAGCATTCTGATTGAAGCAAGGGGGCAAGTCTTTATACCCTGAAATAGAAGCATCATTGGAGGCAGTCTACTACTGCATAGGAGTATATGACTTTAGGGGAGACTTTAGCAAAGAACAATTCTTGATGAAGGATTCAGTTGAGATTTTTAGCCTTAAACCCCACCAGCTTCAGGGGAATAAATGCCTGGATATCAAAGGTGCATGATCTGGGTGGTTTACCATAGCATCCAGTAAATATAACATCAGGTAGAAAAGAGTGTATTATTGGTCATCAGATCTTTACCCAAGAGCTTTTATCTAGAGTAAGCAGAACTACTAAGCAACATTAGAAAGAAATGGTTCTTCCATTTGTAGAAATCTGGGTACAAAGCCAAAGATATTTTTATTCTTTGGTCAGCCTTTCATGCCACTGTTTTTTGCAAAGCAGGATGTGTTCACTTGACTTACACGACTTAATTTCCACCGGCTTGTCCAACCCTCAACATGCAGCAGATGTCATGATAACACTTACATGTGTTTTTAGCTGAGGTTTGGTGTTGGTAGTATCCAAGAAGAAACTTCTGAAGGTTAACTCCTGTTGGGAAACTTATCAGGAAATCCTTAAGCCAAGATTCCAGCTTCTGTTCATTAATAAATATATTCAAAAACTGTGGTTAAATTCCTTTTATGACATTATTGCAGGTACATTCACTATACTCAGTAAAAAGAACTATGCTTTTGCTTGTGTTCTTCCAATCTCTATGTTCACTTTCAACATTTCAAAAAGTGTTGATTTTTTTTTGGTATGTTTTCCTTTACAATCTGAGTTTTCTCACCTGGGAATCTCAGGACTATGGAAAATCCGCCTCTGTGCTCTCAGTAGCTGGTACATTATTGCTTTCCCACATTGGCACCCATAATCCCAAGGAAGGATCAGTTAGGGTAGTTCTGACACTTTGGACAGTGTGTACACCATCAATTCAAAGATTCCCCAAGTTGTAATGGGATATTAGCAAATAGTAACATCAGATTACAAGAAAGACTTAAATGTCCACAAAAAAGTATATATGAGTCTATCTCCTCATTTACTGCTTAAAAGGCAGCACAAATTACTCCTATGTCCTTAACAACAACAAAAATGTCTCTCTGAGGTATTTTCCAAACCCTATTTTCATTGTTGTTGTTGTTAGGTGCCGTTGAGTCATTTCTGACTCATAGTGACCCCATGCACAGCAGTAGGAAACACCATCCAATTCCACGCCAGCTCCATGATCCTTGCTGTATTTGAGCCCATTGTTGCAGCTACTGTGTCAATCCATCTCGTCGAAGGCCTTCCACTCTTTCATCGACCCTCCACCTTACCAACTATGACATCCTTCTCCAGGGAATGGTCCCTTCTGACAACATGACCAAAGTAGGTGAGACGAAGTCTGGTCATTCTTGCTTCCAAGAAGCATCTTGGCTGCACTTCCTCCAGGACAGATGTTAGTTCTTTTAGCAGTCCATGGTACATTCAGCATTTGCCAGCACCACAACTCAAAAGCATCAACTCTCCTTTGGTCTTCCTTATTCATTGTCCAGCTCTCAAGTGCATACGAGGCGATTGGAAATATCATGGCCTGTGTCAGGCACACCTTAGTCCTCAAGGAGGCATCCTTGCTCCTCACAGCTCTTGAAAGAGTTCCTTTGCAGCCAACCTGCCCAGTGCTATATGTCATCTAATGTCCTGACTGCTGCTTCCATTAGTGTCGATTGTAGACCCAAGCAACATGAATTCTTTGACAACCTCAATCTTTTATCCATTTTCATTAGTTATTTAGAACTCTTTTGAACTCTGGGTCTTAATAGGGTTGTATTACTCAGAATACCCTCAGAGTGTGTGTAACTGTGTGCACACAGGTAAGAGAAACCTAGGCATGTAACACTTTCTCCAACATTCTTAATATATGCCAAGCCACTTTATACTTTCTCTGGAGCAGGACACGAAGAACCATGACTAACTCAAATGGAAGCCTCCTGTTTTAGCATCCAATTTAATTTAGTCTATAATTCTTCTCCCCATCGCTTAAAGGCATTATTATAATAGTGTTAAAATTAATGCATTTATAAAATTAATACATTTATGAACTCAAAGAAAAGATCCTCACTAAGGGGAGAGGAACTTTCCTCCCATGGCTCTGCGCAGAGCATCTTTCACCTCCTTGTTCCTCAGGCTGTACACAACCGGGTTCAGCAGGGGTGTGATGACGGTGTATGTCACTGAGATGAGTCTGTCCTGCCCCAGGGAACTCTGGGACTTGGGCTTGAGGTAGATGATGGAGGCACACCCATAGTGGATGATGACCACTGTGAGGTGGGAAGCACAGGTGGCAAAAGCCTTCTTTCTACCCTCAGCCTCCTTATCCTTAAGAAGCAATCTTAAGGATAGCAGAGATGATGAGGACATAGGAAATGAAGACCAGGCCCATGGGCAGAACAAGAACACAGACACTGACCACAAAGTTAATGACCTCATTGACAGTGGTGTCTACACAGGCCAACTTCAGCAAGGGTCGCACATCACAGAAGAAGTGAGAGATGACAAAGTCATCACAGAAAGACAGGCCGAACACAGATGTTACCTGGATGATGGCCATACCTAGCCCAATCCCCAGTGACCCAGATGCTAGATTGACACAGGTCCTTTTACTCATGATGATAGAATATCGTAGAGGGTTGCATATGGCCACATAGCGGTCATACCCCATGGCTGTAAGAAGGAAGCAGTTGTTGATGCCAAAGGTGAGGTAGAAGAAGAGCTGTGTGGCACAACCTTGGATGGCAATGCATTGCTGAGGACTTAGGAGGCCAGACAGCATTCTAGGGATGATGGTCACAGTGTAGCAGGTCTCAGAGATGGACAGCATGCTTAGAAAGAAGTACATAGGGGTATGAAGGTGATGATCCAGGCGAATGATGGTAACAATGATGATATTTCCTGAGAGGGTCAGCAGGTACACAGTTAGAAAGACAACAAAAAATATCACCCTGTGCTGCCACCCAAAGCTGGAGAAACCTTCAAAGAGGAACTCAATCACAGCAGTGGAGTTTAGATTTGCCACAGAGGGAAGTCCAGGTCTGAAAAAGCCGGACAAAGCAAAGGGAAGAGTTATGAGCCAAAAACGAAACAGAATGATCATCGGTAAAGGGGGCGAGCCACCAGTCCTCAGCTGTTGGCCAATTACTCAATGATCACCTACACTCATCCTTCTCTTTGGTACTATAGAAGTGTTACCCCAGGACCCTGGGGTGAGGACAGAGATAGAGATGAGAGGTAAAGTGAAGACTAACAGAAAGACATTTTTGTGGAAATAACTACCTGGCCATTGAAGAGGTGGGGGTCCAGGTTAAGGAAGAGGCAGGAAATATCAAGTGTGTCCAGCTCTATAGTTCTTCCTCACTATAGTCTTGAAGTGGGCCTCCAAAGACACTATGAGGAACTTAATGAAAAGGTGAAATATATCTGAGATTAGTATTCTTTCAACATTGTCAGTATGCATTGTCAACACCAAATGCTTTGTAAACGACCTAGAATGACTTCTCCCCAGAATCTTAAGGCCTGGTCTTTACTTTTCTAAGCTCCTGTACCCCAAATCCCCTGCAATCATGAAAGACTAGAAAAGGGAGCACTTGTGCTGTTTTCTTTTTTTTTCCTGGAGACCCTGTACCCAATATCCTCTAAGATCATGAAAAATAGTTTGATCAGGCACTGCAGGTGACTCTTTAGTTTTTTGTTTTGTTTTGTTTTAGGTGACCATTTAGTTATCTCCTTCTTGGATTCTAGCCAAAATCAGTAAAGAGAATAGAATGAATCTGAAAATGTCTCTTCAGGTAGGAAATGTATTTTCCTAGTATGACAGAAAAGATAAAATTTCTTTAATCAAACAAGGACAAGATGCCATATTTTTTACTTCAATTGTGCATACCCCAACTTTATTGCAGTTAGACATGATCTGGTTCAAATTCTCTTTATCTTACCCCATGTGAAAGCAACATGACAGACTTTACTGGGGCAGTGGGTTTGGTTTCACCTTAAACCAAGGCGGGGCAGATTTCACCTTAAACCCATGTCCACTCTTGATAAACATCAGCCATGTTTAACTATTTGCTCCAATTCAGAATGCAGAGGGCCATCATAGTATTGCCTTCTCATTTCCATCAGGAAGACGGTATCTCCTGAAATTCTCTTTCCTTGCCTTCTCCTCTGAATTCCTTCTGTGGACACCTAGCTTCTGGTCACCATCATCATTCTCAATTGCCACTAATCTCCTTCATTTCAGTACAGTCTATTTCAAGTTTTCTTTCTGAACATTATTATAACCTTCTTTTTAAAAATCTGCTCATGGAGTTCTGTATAAGCTTCTTCAACAACCCTTCAAAAATTTTATAATATTGAAGTATTCATATTTCATAATACAGTCATCCCCTGGTATCCATGGGGGATTGGTTATAGGACCTCATAGATATCAAAATCTGTGGATATTCAAACACTCATATAAAATGGTGTAGTATTTGCATATAATTTGGATTCACCCAAATACTTTAAATCATCTATGGAATATTTATAATACCTAATACAATGTCAATTCTATGTGAATAGCACTTTACACTCTGTCAGCCTTTGAAGAATTGCTTTGACTTCTTAATTGCTTTCTTTCTCCCTCTTGCTTTCTTTTTCTGTCATATTTTTGATCTGCAGTTGGTTTAATCTGCAGATACAGAACCCTTGGATACGAAGGACTGACTGTTCATAATATTCAAACTCATTTGTAAATTGATTATAGTAATATTCCATAGAGTTGCTGTGAGGATTAAGTAGGTTCATGTATTTGAAGAGATTAACATATTACCTAACACATACAAAACGCCAAACCCAACCCACTGCCATTGTCTATTCCAATTTACAGTGACCCTATAGGACAGAGTAGAACTGCCCCATAGGGTTTCCAAGGGTGTAAATCTTTACAAAAGCAGACTGCCTCATCTTTCTCCCACAAGCAGCTGGTGGGTTCCAACCATTGACTTTGTTAGCAGCCAAATGCCTTAACCACTAGCCAACTAGACCTCCTTAGTTAACACAAAACAAAAACCAAACCCATTGCCTTTGAGTCAATTCTGACTCATAGTGACTCCCATTGGGTTTCCAAGGTGATAAATCTTTAGGGAAGTAGATTGACCCCCATCGTCCACGGAGTGGCTTGTTGGTTTGAACCACCAACCTTCTGGTTAGCAGCCAAGTGCCTTAGACACTGCACCATCAGAGCTCCTTTACATAATACATAAAAACTCAAAAAATTCACTGCCCTCAAGTCAGATCTGACTCATAGTGACCCCTCCTTGGGTTTCCAAGGTGGTTTCACTATGGAAGTAGATTGCCCAATCTTATTCCGAGGAGATTTGAACCACCAGCCTTCTGGTTAGCAAATGCCTTAGGCACCACACCACCAGAGCTCCTAGTGATTATTATTCCTTTCTATTTTTCACAAATGAACCAGCTTAAATTGCTAAGAGGAGCAGAGTGAAGAAGGAAGAAAGACTTTAGCCTATAATTCTAAGATTTGTAATAACCCTGTGATTACTCTAGCTTTGGTTTTATAAAATATCATTTATCTTCCACTGCTCATAAGAAAATTTTCTAGCTCTTTTAAAATCTTTCTTGAAATGTATTGACCAAAACCATGCACACTGCATTACTATCCCAACATAGGTGTAGATTAAGTAAAAAAGAGAAGAATGTGGAACAAAACTCAAAATCATCATTAAAAAAAAAGGCCAGTTTGCTAGTTTGATAGAGCCTGGTGAGACACCTGAGATTATGGCCCCTAAATATCCTTAAGGTCTGGAACCTGTGGTTTCCAGCCAAACAATAGACAGGCAGATGGGGGTGAACACTTACATTCGATAGATACACTGTTTGGAGCAATCAATCGTGGGAGATCAGAAGGTCAGAATTTGTGCAGGGAGATAGTGATGGGAGGAGGGGGCAGGAGTGCATGGGAGGGAAGGACACAGGGAAGAGGTAACTACAGGTAGGAAGTGGGAGGAGAACTGTTACATTGTAAGGAATTACAGTCAATGTCATGAAACAAAATGTGTATGAACTGCTATATGGAAAATGAATTTGCCCTATAAACGTTAACCCAAATCACAATAAAAATTTGAGAAAAAAATGATTTTCAATTTTGCTTCTAATCCCCTTCTAGAAGATACTCAACATTTTACTTCTTCTTTGGGTCATAGTATTTCACCTGGCTACTGTATCTAGGAATCTTCTTCAGCGACAGCTAGCTCTTCTTCCTGTGTTATAATGGAGAGTTTGGAGCTCTCTCACTGTAAAATCACATTTTCCCCTTGCACACATTGAAATTAATGTAGTTTATAACTTAATTCCATTTTATTCACCAGAAGATCTTACTCATGCCTGTGGCCTAGGATATTTTTCTGTTCCTTTTCACCTCCATACCATTACTTAGCACCTTAGAAAAGTGTATCCCTGCAACATTTATGGGAGAATCTTTCCAACATAATAGTAAAGTGGTACAGAGAGTAGGATGAAGAAATTAAATACATTTTCAAAGGGAATATTGCTCATCTAGAGATTAGGAAACGTGGGTGAGGAGGGAAAGATGAGAGACAAAATGTACAGAGGTTACAAATGAACAAAAACTTTGAAATCCAGAAAATGTCTTTGACTTTAGAGTTTTTACTGTTGTTTCTTTTATAAGTCTTGGTGGCACAGTGGTTAAGTGCTTAGCTGCTAATTGAAAGGTTGCAGTTGGAATCCACCAGCAACTGTGTGGTAGAAAGATGCTGTGGTCTGCTTCTGTAAAGATTTACAGCCTTGGAAACCCTGTGAGGAAGTTCTACTCTGTCAGATAGGGTCACTGTGAGTCAGAATTCAACTCAATGGCAATGGGTTATGTTTAGTCTTTTAAATACATGACCACAAAAGGGTTAAATAAGTCCTGTCCCTGACTCAACCCCTGGATGAGCGTACAATTTACATTTTTTCCTAGAAAAGTGTACTTGTTCATCTGATTGCTTCTGATTTTTTTTTTTTTTTTTTTTGCCCCCTGTGCCTAAATAATAAAATTTTACTTCAAAACCATTTCTTTTGTAGTTCAAACTTGCAAACATGTATTGAACTATCACAGGGTATAAGAACTGTGCTAGTGCTAGGAAATCAAGGAAGAGTAAAACATAATCTTTTCCCCCATGGGGCTTAAATCCTTGGGCAGCCTTTCATATAGGACCCAATCAAAGGCCCTGGAAGCTTTATGTCCCTCTTCTCCACATTAGTCTACCTACCAATGTTTCCAAACTCTTTGAAGTGACACATGTTCCCTTTCTTCTACAGATTATCTCTGATTGTGTGATAAAAATGTATATGCTGTAATAAACATCACACATCTTAACAGATAACAAAGTGAAACTCACCAAGTAGCTTGTTGCTTGTTTCTTGGATCTTCTAGCCAGCTGTGCTCATGTCTGAGAGTGACATCCACCACTCCGGAAATTTGACAGCCTGCAATACCAGATTATGAATTTTTACTAATAGTAACAAAGTACTTTCAGTGTCTTTTCTGGTATTATATAAAACCCATCTGTTATTTAAGTTTACATCACTTGTTAAAAATACTGCCATTTACCCAAATTATCTATGCATTTCCTTCTTTGAAAGTCACTACTCTTTTAATAGGCAGAGATATGGTTCAACAGAAATTCCTCCTTCAGTGGAAAATCTTTAGACACCATCCAGAAAGGACCACCTAAAAGAAAAAGAAAATCAGGCCTATCCCAGTACCAGTGTCTGACTCTGGACGTGAAGAACAGAAAAAAATCATATTGTTTCTCTAGATTCTCATAGTCCCACCCACTAGATGAAGCTCCACTGTGAGTCTGAAAGCATACATTCTGGTTTAGGGGTTCTTAATATGGCACTGAATTATCTGGCCCAGACTCCTGGGTCTTTCTTCCCAAAACAGCACTTACTGCTCCCCAGTGATCAATAGCAGAAAGCAGATTCCAAACAGCACAGCACCTTGAGACCTCGTTACTGAGGCAGCTCATTTCTTAATGGCAAAACTAACACTTTGGAAGGTAGGATAGAGTAGGCTATTGCGTATAATATTTGAGGTGA